CACACACACACACACACACACACACACACACACACACACACACACACACACACACACACACACGCACACACCGAAGCGCAGAAACAGACACACAGATTGACACTCTGAGAGAGAAAAAAAAAGAGAGACATCGATGGAGAAAGAAAAAGAGGAGCCGTCCTCCCTCTGACAGATTGAGGAATTATGGCCTTTCTTCCCAAAGGCTAACAGGGCGAGGCATGTATGGTAGAGAGAGCGGCAAGCACTACGCGGCGTCCGAGAGCTCAACGCGTCTTTCATAGAGCTCAACCTTACCGCCGACCATCTCTATTAACTTTGTTTTGTAACAGTCAAATTATACTGATACGTAAAACAGACAAAAAATAGAAACAGAAAAGCTCGCGTTTCCGACCACCCACCTGACGGACATAGGTGAACTCATAAATGAACAATATGGATACATCACACATTTGATTTACAAACGTAAATTGAGAAAAGAAACCAAGGGACGCACGGATTAAACTACTAAAATGATTTCCACACGGATTGCTTAAACCCGTGTTTAGAAAGGGGAAAATACGGTTTCGAAGTCCGTGGTCCGTCGTAAGTTAACGAAAAAAAAAAGTTAAGTTAACAGTAACAAAAAATTCAAGAACAAGAATGAAAGAAGAGGAAGAAGAGAAAGAGGAAGAAGAAGAAGAGGAAGAGGATGAAGAAGGGAGAGGATGAAGAAGGGAGAGGAAGAAGAAGGGAGAGGAAGCAAACTCAAAGACGTTCAAGAACAAGAATTGACGAAGAAGAAGAAGAAGAAAGAGAAGAAGAAGAAGAAGAAGATTGATAAACAGAGGCCAGAAACTGTTTCCCGATCACAAAAAGTCAACAAAGCAGACAATCCAAGAAGAAGAATGAAAAGAAAAAGAAGATTGATAAACAGAGGCCACAAACTGTCTCTCGAGAATGCTTTCACATAGGCTACCACTTTCCTCCATTGTGGCGTAGGTCTTTTTTTCCCAACTACACTGTTGGTTTATGACACTATTTCAAAAACTCCGGGAAAAAAAATTAAAATAAAAAAGGTTAGAAAACAGATAAATACCGTGAGGCGAGGTTAGAGATCGACGTGTTTGATCCATGCTGAGCTTCTCGAACGCCCTGACATGTTTCATCGGAGAGAGAGAGAGAGAGAGAGAGAGAGAGAGAGAGAGAGAGAGAGAGAGAGAGAGAGAGAGAGAGAGAGAGTACCAAGGGGGTTGCTGTGTTCATTCAAATCGAAGGCTACAATCACATCACCGTTCCAGACTGCCCTGACATGTTTAGACCAACTCACCAGCGTGGGATGAAGACCGGCCCGTCCTAGGAGAGGTAGTCGGGGGTGTATCGGACGACTGGCGGTCGTCCGCAGCAGCGGACGCCGACTGGGGCGTTGAGGCGGTGATGGCGGCGAGCAAGGACACCATAGCCATTCGCCTCGAGGGGTTTAAATTCGTTTTCACTGGCTCGACAGTCGTGGCCAACTGAGATTGCTCTGCAGTGCAACGGGTCACCCTCACCGCCTCCGAGGCACTCGATCCCGCGTTGCTGTATCTGAGGGAGAAACATATGCAGCTGCCAACTGAGCCGCTCCTGCCTGCGTTGGGCCGGGTGATCTGAAACGAGCTTGCGCCCAGAAGGGACGCGGAGCGCGAGCGCGACAACAGCCCGCGCTCCCTCGAGAGCGCTCCGAGCACCACCTCACTTTCCGTCACTGAACCCGCCATCGCCATAGCCATCGCCATTCTCTCTCTCTCTCTCTCGCTCGCTCGCTCGCTCGCTCGATCTGCGCCTACCTCGAATGTTTGCTCACACTCGAAAACTGTCGACAGCAGCAACAACTATACGTGTTCTGCGGATCTGAGCCGAACGTACCGAAAAACACGCGGGGCCAGGACGAGCGCCAAAGATTGGACCTTCCCCGCCAACACCCCTGCTGGTCCGCTCTACTCCATGGCTTGCCAACCCGTCGTTCAGAAGCGGAGGGAGTGGTTCGGTTTGAGGTCTTTTTTTTTTTCAGTAGTAGTTCCATGCGCACGCGCGCCGTCGCCGGCCGATCGGTCTCTTCGCTCCCGCGCTGGCCACCGTGGACGACTTTTGGTACGGCAACTAGTCAGGAGATGACACGACGGACCAGGATATCCACCTGCTGACAGATTCCGCCCGCTGACGGGTGCGGCGCAACAGCAAGATCGTTTCTCCATTTTGCCCGGGAATTGTCCTTCCAATTTTACGGGCATACCCCGCTGAGGCCGAGGTTGCACTACCAAGCCCCCGGAGCTTCTGGGATGGAAAATTTGGGAGCGATCACAGTCCGCGCTAATCCTCAAAAACAAAACGGGGAAAATTCAGGTGAAAATCGTTCAGCTGCGTGCCCGAATCTGGACGGGGTCCCAGTACCGTCTTCCCCCGAACACAACGCACCCTCATTTTGGCTGTAACGGGCCGGAAACATACCTTGTGTAGGTTGATTTTCAGGGTGCGTTATGTTCGGGGGAAGACGGTAGCGAAGAGGATTGGATTGAAAGTCCGAATCTGGACGCGTTTGTGCAAAGGTGCAGAACTTACTGCCTTTACGAATCTCTGCTTGAAACACGTCCAGATTCGGGGGCTTAATCGAATCCTCTATGCTAGTGGGACCTCGGCCCAGCTCACTTGGCGTACTATTCTTTCGCCTTTTACTGAAGAGTACCGTGGGCTGAGCACACTAAGCAGCTCACAACCATTTTTAACGGCCCTTCGGTCCGTCGAGGGGCTTTAAAAAAAAAAAATCTTCTTTTTTTTTTTTTTTTTTTACTACACTATGTTCTTCTCTCAAAAAACAAATTTCGCCTTTCACTACCTTCCTACCACTACTATATAGAGGGGACCCCTGCAAGCATAGGGCCTCGCAAACGAGGTAATTCATGTTGGCCCCGGTGGGGGTCCGGCTAACGCAAATTTTGCCAGTAGCTGCGCCTCCCTTTCTCATCGTCCCCGCACCCCTCATCGAGCAGCAGCAGAGGCTATGGCCAACACTCTCCCACACACCACACACAACCCACTCGCGCTCGCACTCACACCCGTGTTGGTCATAGACCCCGCAAATACCGATCAGGGGTATCCACAAAGTCCATTGGCACTAAGTGCGCCGCAGGCAGCCATGGGGCTTGAACCCACAACCTCCTGAATGCCACTTGCATGCCTAACCAACTGAGCTAGGCCCTTGAACAATTTTATTGCCAAAGATAATACTTGAAAGAGGCCGGAGACCTCGCAATTCAGCCCGGAGTTATCCTGGCAGCCTTAGCCAGTTTCGCTTACGAGACAAGCTCGCCTACAAAACTAACTGCTCCATAAAAGCTCTCCCACTATGCTGGAAACGAGGTCCAGCGTCCTGTCCTTGAAGCACGGAAAAAAGGGTGTTGAGCTATCCATACTGACTAGCTCACTGCAATACAAAGTTCTCCAAGACTCTGCTGGCTGTATCCGATCCAGCCAAGTTGCACTTATACTGCACTAGAAGCGTAACCAGTCCTGAGTCGACACAATTCAGCTACTTTATTCTGGACTCTGAGCCCCTGGAGGTAGAATGTCATCTCTACTGAGTAGGACCAACATTTACGGTCTGAGCGGTTTCCTGAACCTTGGGTTCCGGAAATCAGAGTCGAACGTCCGGTTGGACATCAGAATCGTTTTTCTACTGTTTTTTTCCTTGGGATTTTCTGTTTCAATTTTAAATTTCTAAAAGTATGTTTTTGAAGAAACTTTCCATTTAAAAAAATCTCTGTCGATATTTTCAACTTCCTAGTTTTTATTACTGTGGTGGTAACAAGCGGATTCTGATTGTTTTTTTTGTTAATTGTGTTCCAAGTTTCACCTGGGTCTTTGTGTTGTATATTTGCGTCTTGCTTTGCGATTGGTGGGATTCTCCTTTAGGGTTGGAGCCCCTCCCTGTGAGGGTTTCACAAGGTGGGACGTGTTATCCTTGGAGGGGAGAGGCGGTTTTGTGGGATTGTCTTTTTCTGGGCCAGGCTGATTTAGGGTCGGATCAGCTCTGGCGGTTGGGGAGAGAAGGCAAGGGGGTGAAGCTGTTTACAGCAGGGAGTGAGGATGTGAGGGTTGCCTTGCCTGGAAGGGGTGGGGCAGAGGGAAAGGGGGAACTTCAGCCTGTGAGGCATGCTCTAGGGGGAATTGTATGCCTTTTAGGGGGTTGAAGTGTCCGTTTACTGGTGGTTCCGAACTGGGGCCGAGAGGGGGTGCCTCCCGGTGGGGGCAGTGTAGGAACAGGGGGGTTGTTTTTTTAGGGAGGGAGTATCTTTGATGGTCACACAGTGAGAGTGTTATGGAGTCCCGGGTGAACGTCAAAACCTACATCAGAAGAGAGGATAATTTTTTCCTCTCCTGACTAATTTCCTATTTGAAGAATTTCTGTCCGAAATTTGAAATTCGTATTCTGGTTTTGTGCGTAGAATTTTTTTTTCCATCAGTTTTTATCAAGTAATTCGTCTTAGTCTCAAGTAATTCGTCTTAGTCTCAAGTAATTAGTCCTAGTGCGGTTTTGCAAATTAAAAGGGGGGAGGTCGAATTAGAGGTAGGTGGGAAGTGGGGGGGCTCACTTAGAAGAGGGACCGGCGGTTTAGAGTGGTAAGTCTAACTAGAAGGGTGGGGTGGGACAACATTGGCCAGTGCTGGAGCATTTGCTCTGTGACCAGGGGGAGCTTGAGGCCATTGAAGTTATGTCGAGGGTGGAAGGCATAGCCATCTCGCCTGACGTAGCTGTTGCTGGGGCGGTGACCCTGTAACCTTTTGAGGGGCCATACAGTTAAGAGAGGTGTTGAGGGGGGAACGCACTCTCTGTCCGTCAGAATCAGTTAGATCGGTACTGGGGCAGTTTGTGTTGCCTTGTAACCCTAACAACGGGGTATGAGATCTGATGAGTTCTGGTACGAGGACCGAAAGCTTGATCGGCGTGTCCCTCATCAGTGGTGACGGTAGGAGTTGGATTGTTAGTGATTCTAGTTCTTGCCCTTCCTCCTCTTGTTTTTTTTCAAATGGAGGGTGAAAATCAGAAGCATGGTTTGGAAGAAATTTTGGGTGGGCTCACGCAGTAGGGGAAGGGTGGCTCAGGGTGGCAAGTCTATTAGAAGGACGGGGTGTGTGACGAGTACGAGGTCGAGGGAGACAGGGAGAGCCAAGGGAGAGGAGAGAGAGAGAGGGAGAGAGTGAGAGCACACACACACACTCACTCACTCGACACGACACGACCGAGGGTCGGACGCAGACACAGTGGCAAGGACACAAAGTCGAAGTCTTGGATTCCCCAATGTCGAAACATGAGCAAGTCACACTAAGTACGAGTACAGCAGCTGAAAGCTGGTACGAGGATTGGTCCCCGTACCGTACGGGGAGCCGGTATAAGTACCGGTGACACGTACGGTACTAGGGGCATTTCTGCAAAGGCCCCGAGGGCAGAACTGAAAAATGCAGTATTTGAAAGTGGCGCCCGAATTGCAGCATGGTGCCAGTTGTCCAAAATCCTACGGTACCAAAGGAGGAAGTCCAAGTGCTAGGGTGCGTCCGGTACACGAACTGCAATGAGGTCTGATCTGGAAGCAAGGAAGTCGCAGACTGATGCAAAGATCCATGTCACAAGTTGCTGCTTCAGTAAGTCCGCGAGTCGGGGATGCCGGCCAATGAAACAGCATGGTGGCCAAACCAGTTGCATAATCTCCATGAACAGTGAGGCAGCAGGCCATCGTCCTCGTGCGCTTGCCATTAGATCCTTTATCGCCGGCATCACGCAAGTTCAC